TATTCTCTCAATTATCATCATGCAATTGTATATTTAAATAAATTATAGTTAATAATGAATCAATATATAAATAAAGAGATTAGGGTATAAAACACCTACCTAAAGTATATTGATGAACAATAATCCGTATTGTTCATATAGCCCCTCAGCCTCACATGCACCATCATTATCAATTATATTCTCATTTTATTTAGATTCATTTTTATTCTATGTATGTATATATGTATGTATGTATGTATGTATGTATATTCGAACTAATCTCTTATGCTATTAAACATCATATCTTTCTTATTCAATCCTTAATGACAGTTCAATCATCAATAAATAAATATCCAATAACACTCATTAAATACATTCTTCCACAACCATAACAATAAAGGCAATTATATCATTTTCAAGTTTTTAACTAATTGTAGTGTTAAGAGGAAGAATATGTTTTCTCTTAATTATGTTAAATCTAATATATTTCTTATCATTCGAAAGGTTAATTCAACATAATCTCAAATCCATTACATGTCAATTACTCATCCAAATTAAATTTTTGTTTTTCTTTTCCTATCTTGACCAATTCTATTATTAAGGGTGAGGTATAGTTCCTTCCAATTTCTCGATATCTAACCCTTACCCAATTATTTCTCATGACAATAATCATTTCCCCATCATAAATCAACACAACAACAATTAATTATTCATAATTTCATATTCAAATCAACACTAATACATTTAACAATTAATATAATTCAAAACCATTCACTTTAATCATTTAAATTGGGTTTCTTACCTCAAATGGATATTGAAACAAAAGAAAGATGCAAAAGAAGTCAAGGTTCTATTTACCTCTCCTCTCTCACCTTTCTCTCCCCACTTTAACAATCTCTTTAACTTTTTGAATTTCTAAAAAAACCCTTTAAATTCATCAAAATACCTTCATTACTCACTTTACAATCCCTCTAACCCCTTTTATCTTTACTATTTTTTTAATTACTTTTTTTTTAAAAAACAAATTCTCAAGAAAGTAAAAGGAAGAGAAAAAAACCATAACTCCTTTTTTTTTTTCTAAGACTATTCTATTAGTTTCATTGCCTAATAAGACATTTACAATCAATTTTCAACTATTTAAAATTTGACCCCTCATTTATTTAGGATGAACTGGTCATCCATTTAGGTTGTTAAATGAATTGGTCAATCGGTTTCTTACTTAGTCCCCATAATGTTTTTCTTCTAAATCATGTAATATCAATTCAATCTTTTACCTATTGTAACATCTCACCTCACTAGCAAGATATTGTCCGTTTTGGCCCACAGGCCTCACGAATTTATTCTTGGCAGCCATGCATGGCTCCAAAATACATCTTACTAGTCAAGGTCAACATGCTTATATAGATTCTCCCCCAGGTCCTCACCTATCGATATGAGATATCACAATCCACCTCATTTAAGGAGCCTAACGACCCTGTCGGTACCATCGAACAGCTAGTGAGCCGGGTTTTGATACCAAAATATAAAACCTCATTCCACTAGCAAGATATTATTGGCGTTGGCTCTCGGGTCTCATGAATTTGTTCTTAGCAGCCACACATGGCTCCCAAATACATCTTACTAGTCAAGGTGAGTATGCTCATATAAGGTTTTTTCCTAAGTCCTCACCCGCCGATTTGGGATATTATATCTATGTTCAATCCCACCATTTTAAAATTTCAAGATCTTCCTAACTTTAGTTCTTTGGCTGGAGTTTATATATTGGATCAACTCAGGTCGATTTAGCTTAACCCAAAAAAATTAACATATTATTTTTTTAAACTATTTTTATTTAATTATATGATAGAAATAGATGCTCTTAAAATCAAGTATCAACCCAATATCAAGATGCTTGTTTGTAGTCATGATAACTCTATAATAAACGAACTAAAACAAATTATGAAATTTAATTCATAATCAATCTTATGTTTGAGGTTTAAGAAATAAATAAATAAAAACTCCGGTTAACTCACCAAATTTTGAACCAGGGTTATAGACTTAACTAGCTTTAATAACTATATGTTTTTTTTAAAATAATCTTGTATAGTTGTATTTAATAATATGATAAAAAAATACATTTATAAAAACAAGTACCCACCCAATTTTGGGTTGTTTTGTAAATTTCAAGCATTGTTTTCTAAACAAAGATCCTTTATAGTATTAAAAAAAATTATAATTAACATTAAAACAAAGTCTCAAGATTTTGTGTATGATTAAAGATAAAAAATTGATAAATGTGATAAAATTATATAAGAATTCATAAAACATCTCAAAAAACATTAGTTTTATATTAATTGAATATTCATGAGTTTTTTTTTTCATATTAGACACATAATAATTGAAAAATAAATGTTAACATTCCTATAAAAACCTATAATATTATTTGGAACATATAAAAAAATTGAATAATAATTGAAATACAATGTTAATTTTTTTTATAGTGCATTTACATCTAACCCCCACCCCCAAAAAAAAAATTAAAAAAATGAAAAAAAAAGGGGCAAAGCCTAGCTCTCAACTTAATAGACAAAAGATCGGACATGCGTGGGTTTGTAAGGCTAGCTCTATATAGATGACCTTTTTTTTATTCTTTTATAAGAGTAGGGCAACATCTTTTTTTTTTTTAAAGAAATAGAAGTAGATGACGCATCATCTGATTGACAAGATTTCAACCACCGTAAAAGTGGCTAGAAAATTATAATTGGGGGTTTTGAGTCTTAAAAATCAAGTACAACATATTTTAATTTAAAAGTACTTAGTAAACATTTTTAGCATCTCAATAAACTAATCTCCCTACTTAAACACCCCTGAATAGATAAAAAACACAAAATCAAACCAAAAAACTCTTTTCACCCTAATCTATATTTTCAGGAAAATTGAATGTTTAAAAAACCTCTATAAAACTTGTCTTGTCAAATGAAATTCATTGATACTAAAATTTATGTTTTTCGTCATTAAAATACAGCCAAACAATGACTTTCCTTTTCCTTTGCCATAACAAATCCCTCTCTTTTCAAGCTAGAGACTAAATCTTTTATACTAAAATAAAAAGTTTAAAAATTAAAGGGACTATAAAAGAATAAAAGTGAAAATTAGTGGATCAAAAGGTACTTTCTCGCATGAATTTAAGATTAGCTATGAGGTTTCTATTTGTTTTATTCTTTGATCCTTTTTCGTTGAATTTTGGCTTCCTTGAATAAATTTTATTAAATTAATCATAAAAGGATGGAATTCAAAAAATTAAAGTTGAGGATGAAATTAGAAAAAAAAACTTATTGCATATTGCTATAGTGAAATGCCTAGCTCTTTTAATATATTAACTAATATTTTAGTAAAATGATTTTAAGAAAAATAAATCTTATATATTTTTTTTTCTTTCCATAACTAAATAAATTATTTTATGCTTAATAAAATTTCTATATTCTATCCTTGAAAAATCTGTAAAAATGTCTTCTAAAAAAAGAAAATAATTAAATTATCTTTTGGACTAAAATAAAAACTCCAAAAACTATAGGGATCATAAAAGAATAAAAGGGGTAGTTGGTGGATGAAAATGTACTTTCTCACGTGAATTTGAGATTGATCTTGAGGTCTCTCTTCGTTCTATTCTATGGTCCTGTTTTGTTGAATTTTATCTTTCTTGAATGAATTTTAACAAATTAATTATCAAATTATTCATAAAAGGATGAAATTAAAGAAATAATTAAGGATGAAATCATATAAAAAAAACTTATGTTACTGTTGATTGCTGTAATGAAATGCCTAGCTGATTTAATATATTAAATAAATTTTTAGTAAAATGATTTTATTAAAAATAAATCATATATAATTTTTTTTCTTCATGCAACTAAATAAATTGTGTTATGCTTGATAAAATTGCTATATTCTATACTCGGAAATCAATAAAAATGTCTTCTAAAAAAAGAAAATATAAAATGAGATGTTATTATAGCAAGCAAGATCTTGATTTTAAAATTTTTGTAGCAAACTAGATGATTAGTTTCCAAGCTTTCATCATCATCTACATCACATGTATTGTTCTTCGATAGCAAGCAACTGCTTTTCTTTTTTTCTTCCCTCATTTAAAATAGTGAGCGAGAAGGAAATGCTTTTGGATTCCTTGCTGCTACGTTTCCCAGCATTTCATGGCAGCAAAGAAGAGTAAAAAGGGGTATCAGAAAAACTTTCCATACAATCCTCGACTAAAATGTGAAGCTTAGAGCAGTGTTAGGATTTGCTGTGTGCTTTCGGAAAGGTTGGATAAAAAAACTAATTCAATTTATGTTCTAAAAGCTAATTGTTTTTTACATTTAAAACTGTGTTTGGTGCGTTTAATATGAAAATAATATTAAATTTATATATATATTTTTTATAATTTTCAATAATTTTAACATCTTGATAGAAAAATTAAAATTAAAATTATTTTAATATATTTTTTAAAATAATATTTTTATAAAATACCACTATCACACTTAAAAAAGAAGAAGAAGAAGGAATGTTTTAATTTAAAAGCTGAAGTGTGACATTCTTTATTTTTCATAGGCTTTATCAATAGTTAGTTGTTTTTTAAAATAATTTTTTATTTAAAAATATATTCAAATAATATTTTTTTTAATTTTTTAAAATTATTTTTAACATTATCACATTAAAAAAATTTAAAAACACAAAAAATTTAAATTTTAAAAAATAATGTTTTTTAAAAAAACATTTTTAAAATATAAAAACTTCAAAATAGATTTGTTGTCATAAAAATCTTCATCGTTGACAACAGGACCACATTATCAAAGTGGATCTACCGGTAAGATTTCAGAACAAATGGTCATGTGGGTGACTCTTGACTTGCGGACCTATGTCTTTGCTACTTTTTCGTTACTTGCAAGAATGTTTGCTTGGTCCTTGTCAGGTGCAGTGAGCCTGACAGGTAACCAAATGGTTCGAGGAATTACTATGAAATCAATGCAGAGGTGATGGCACACCAAACCTGAGAAAGAAGACAATATCGTGTCTATATATCCTTACGCTTTTCTCGATTCAAGGAAACACAATCAAAACCTATATTTTTACATAATATCTCGTCACAGCAATTCTTAGACCTTTCGCTCAGCAAAAGGAGCATTTCAAACTGTTCAAAACTTCAGAGAATAATCATCTTGCAGTTCATTTAAATACTGACAGCAATATATGCTTTCTTGAGAGAAACCACAACGAGGATCATATTCCAATTCCCAAAGGTTTTGTAACCCCAAAATACTGGGAGAGACTTATTGGAGGTAGCTCAGCAATCAATGGAAATGCAGGTCTCCGCAACCAAGGTGTTATCAACTTTGTTAACGAATGGATTAATCTTGACCCAAACAAGAGAGAAGACAGAGGCCAACAGCACTGACCAGAGAACAACAATGGTTGGTGTTCTGTTTTGGCGACCCATTAGACCTTTAAGGAATGGATAGAGATGAAGAATCACCCAGAAAGCAAAGAACACCTTGCCAAAGAGAGGCCCCCATGCTTCATATCCTTTGTTAAGTGCATCAGAGAATCCAGCAACAACACCAACAATATTGATAATGAGAAGTGTTGTTGGAGGAATCAAAAGTGTTGTCCACTTGACCATATATAGCTCCCCAAATTCTGTATCTTCGGCTGCTTTGGCTGTGACAGTGAAGTTCGTATCGATGCCAGCCAACATTTTTAAGAATCCCTGGAAGACCGCAAAGAGATGGGCTGAAACACCTCCGATCACCCAGAATTGTTCATTACGCCATAAATCTTCAATGCTGACACCACTCCATCTTAGCTCAAGCACTGCAGTTACAATGATAGAGATAAAGAGGCCAAGAAACAGCATGCTTGCCAGGTTTGAGAGCTGGATCAGTGACAAGGTACAATACATATTCAGTCCCTTTAGCACATGATTACTAGTGGAACATGAACTGTAGATTGAATTTGGCAAACTGTGATTTTTAATATCGCACAGAAAATTGGTGACGCAGAATAGCAAACTAGTAATAGTATGCATAGTTCAATGGCTTGAGAAGCATTGTTCCAACTTCTACCTAGCAAAACATTTTAAATTTGCCCTAAGAATAACTCACAAGTAAAGAGACATGATTTTGCAACCATTTTTCATTCTAGGATGAGAAAAGGAAGATCATAAAAATTACCGTTGGTATGATGAATTTTCCGGTGAGCAGACAAACTGCAGGAATTGTGCAGTAGGCAATGAGAGGGAGGGATGTAAATGGGTACACAATGGTGTTTATATACGCAAGCCTTTGGAGCCATTTAAGACGGCCTCCTCCGAAACCGTACCAGAGGGGACAGTGTCTGCTAAAGAAAATTTCCACAGAACCAAGAGCCCATCGGAGGACCTGGTGCAATCTATCAGACAGGTTGATGGGTGCAGATCCTTTGAATGCAGGCCTTACAGGCATGCAGTAAATTGATCTCCATCCTCGGCAGTGCATCTTGAAGCCACTTAAGATATCCTCAGTGACTGATCCATATATCCAACCAATCTGAGAAGACACAATAAAAAGGTTTAAAATCGACAATACAACCAAGCCAACTAGGTCCAAACTGAAAACCACCAGCATAATTCCTACTTGAATGTTAATGCAATAGAAGGTCACATCATGTTTTCAACTAAAAAATCAAGAATTCAAGATTGAAATGACAGTCTAGGGTAGAAAATGCTGTGAATATTCAATTTAGTATTGTGATTGTGATAATAATTGTTTTTTAAAATAATTTTTATTTAAAAATATATCTAAATAATTTTTTTTATGTTTCACCTCTTTTCCCCATTCAGTCTTCTCTTCGTAGCCACACCCTATGACATGAATTGCTTCCTTGATGAGTGTTGATGAGTTCGCAGACTCAGGTACTCCTCCATTCTCCATTAGCGTAGACTCAATGAAGACAGAAGATAAGCCAAAAGTTTTCTCAAAGCTCAACTGGGAGATCAGCATTGACCTTTCATGCTCATCATAATCTGCAGGAGAAAAGGCCCCAGTATAACTTAGTGAGTGAAAATTCTGTTAACCTATCATCTAATCCAACTCTCTTAAAAAATTTAAACTTACTATCAATCTCTGTAAGATTAAATATGGCAGCATTGAGATCCTCTCTTTTTGCATCTCTGTAAACCTCAGCTGGATCTTGAGCAGGCTTCTTCTTTGAGGGGCAGCAACATGAGAAGCAGGATGAAGAATCCTTTCCCTTGCGTAAGCTGGGCATAGAAGGAGGCCCGTAGCCGTAAAGTGCTTGCCTATTGAAAACACAACCAGTTCCTACATATACTGGTCCTTGAATGCCATCCAACCCCTTCATGTTAACCTGACAATAGAATAGAAAGAATTGTCAGAATTCAAAAGGCTATAAACAACAGGAGCCAGGATATTATGGCAATGTTGTATTATTTTCAAAATCAGCATATTGTTGCCTAATTTTCCACTTCTTCCACTTTCTGCTCTGAGTAAAACATGTGTTGCACATCTGTCTGTCGATAGGAATTGGGAGAGCAAAAAGATTAATGATAAAGAGGATTTGAAGGGCCGATGTATCTATCTGAACTTCATTGTAGATTAACTTGAAATAAGTTTGAAGATACTGATTTCTGTCATTTATTTAAATAAGAAATAATTTCTAAACTTAAATATTCACATGACCTGAAAAGACCAACTTCCATACCCATCAAATGACCTAGCTATTTAAAAACTTCAGGATAAAAAAAAAAATGGAAGAAAATGTTTCTGCTACTCTAGTTTTATTTCTTTTTGAGAATTATAATCCAGATAACTTTACCATTTTATGTTCAAATTGAAAAGAGGAGAAGATTAAGCTCGATTTAGCCTTACATCAAAGAAAACTACGTTACGATTGGCGTAGCGATCACTCTTATCTATGCCATCAAACCTCTGAGGGAACTGCACATAGCATACATCTCGACCTACTTGTGGATCCATCAGGATGCACATTGCCTCTCGAACAGCCTTGCTATTGTTTACATAGTGATCACAATCAACATTGAGGATGTAGGGAGCATTTGTGAGAACTGCAGACACTCTCACCTGTATAAAGCCATTCGTGAAGTGTTAGTCCAACTCCAACATGAGGTTCATATGAAGCCTTACCAATCTTAAATTATTTGTACAAACCAGAGCATTTTCTGCACCAGCCTTTTTGTGGTGCTGGTAGCCAGGTCTCTTCTCCCTGGAGACATATACTAGACGAGGTAGTTCATTTCCTTCAATGTCACGAGCTCCAGTATTTCCAAGGAAGACCTGTCAAGAAAACGGCCATATATGGTTATTGAATTTTCAGATAACATGGAGTCACTTTCATGGAAGAGTTTTATGGATGTGTCAAATAGACTGGAGTCGCAGGATCACATGGGCTTCTAATAAATATTGAAGGAACACATAAAAGATCAGTATCTTGCTCAGAAAAGAAATGCAAAAATTGGGCCATAGGATTTTATTTCGAAGCCTTGAGGATTCTGAATTCAAAAAAATGTTTCAATTATTTCATAAATTCCAAATAAACCACTGTCCCTTAGATTACTAAATGCATCAGGAATCTTTCTATGGTAATTGCAGCTTTAAGCCAGAGAATTTTCACATCTTAGATGTATCATGAAATCAATTTTGAAAATTTAGATAACAGTAGTGCAGATCCTTTATTTCTCTTGATCTTACTATAGAAGCAGGGATATTAAAGATATCCTGTTGATCTCATTATCTTCAAAAGGTTAAACAGCTTTACTGAACCAATTAGCAATAGACTTTCTACCCAGTACTAACATGAAAAATCAAGCAAGATTCAAAAGCCAATGAAGATTTCAACCTGAATCATGCCAGGATGATCACGTGTGTTATTCCCAGGCCAAGGTGTTCCATCTTGCATAGTCCATCCTTCTTCAGGTGTTTTCTGAGCCTTTGCTACCAGGGCATTAACTCGGACTTTGTACTCTTCATAATCCCTCTGAAACAAAATAGAAGGACATGACAAATGACTTGTAACCAAAACCAATTACATAATGCCTTTTCAGAAAGGATGAGTATTTGAGAATTGTGTAATAAGAGCTCAGAGCTTACTTTCATTGCTCTACGTTCTTTCACGAAAGAAGGTTGAACCTTGTCTTTCAAGTAATCAATTTTCTGTGAGAAGTAAAACTCCGGTGCTCTTGGTTCAATTGAGTATTTTTTGCAGAACGGAACCCACTTCCTTGCAAACTCAGCTGTTTCTACCAGAGATTCAAATGTAAGCATAGCTGCACCATCATCAGACACGTAGCAGGAAACTTTATCGACGGGATAGTCCACAGCAAGGATGGAAAGGACTGTATTGGCAGTGATCAATGGCGGTTCTTTCAGTGGATCAACAGTACTCACGAAAAAATCCACACCAGCAAGCTGAGAAGGCTCACCCTCTCTTTCATACCTGGTATGGCATTGTGAACATCATATCATTTACACTTCGATCAGCACATTGTACGGGTGCATTTATGTTTTCTGCAGTTATTTTGTGCTCTTCCTACATGTACTACCTCTACGTTATTATGTGTATTGATATGCACAGCAAACTTAGCCCTGCCAACACCTCGACATGAAGAAATGGATAAACAGCTATTGATAAAGGTTGGAAACTAACAGTTGTATTTGTTTTTGAGTCTCACAGAAGGTAAGGTTGTATGCGTCGTATAGCTAATGTTTGTGAGCCACTTTTAGCAATAAAAAAAAGAAAAAAGAAGATGGTAAATTATGCAGATGACGGTGATTTTGTGTCAAATCATAATCTTCAGTTTTTAAAGGCTTTACTAGTAACATGAGATTTTTTGCTTCCATATAGTGTACCTTGCAGACAGCCTTTCGATAAACGTTTCTCTATTGACAGGATTCCACTTGGGGAACTGATCCAACACCCAAGAAAATGCAAACCAGATCTCACATATGACAGAAGTAAGCCACAGGCCAAAGGCACTATCGACAGGATTTGTTATTCTGTAGTGGAAGAAGAGGCCCAGAATGACCAGTCGCATAATGATCACGGCTCTGTATGGTGTGAGTTTGTTGCGTGGAATTGGATAAACAATTGAAAGCGGCTCCGAAGCCTCTGCAGACCTGCAAATTGGAAAGGAAACATCAAATGAAAGACGCCTTGGCATTGATTCTTTTGTTTCAACTTTAATGAATAACTGTTGGATGAGACATTTAACCATCAACAGTTGATAAAAAGCTTCAAGTAGCTTGCAAGACCTTACAACATGATTAATTTGAAAACACCATCTTTATTCCTTCAAGTTTAGATACCTCGATCTCAGTCTTCTCCTTGTGCAGTGTTTCAAAATCAAATAAGCCATGTTTTTGTACTTACGGTTTCTCTTCCATCTGCTGTTCCGTAGGAACTTGAGCTGGTTCATTTTCAGCCTTAGGACTACTCTTTTTCTTCTTGTTCTTTTTATCCTTCCAACTCTCCACCCGATTCTTCCAAATTGGATTCCCATATTCATCATTCATTTCTTCACAAAAACATAGGATGCGATAGATAACCCCAAATAAAAAAGAAGAGAGTTCAAGAAAAACAAAATGATCTTTAGAAAAAGCAAGGTCACTAACCGCTATCCACAGTGGACACACTACTGATATGTCTAGCATGAATTCCGACATCCTGTACGAACCAAGGTTAATTAAACAATGCTGCCAGAATCCCAACATTTGAAACATTATATATATAACACGCAGCAGGCTTAAAACTTCATGGATGAAACTAGAAAAAAACTTGATAGTTCTTCTTGAGTTTCTTTAAATCAAAAAATAAAATAAAATCATGAGTCTCTTATGCATCATTTAACATTTTATGAAATAGTTATACCTGAGAATCGTTGAAGTGAGATGCCATTGTGGATTGATTGCCAGACCCCTTCTTTTCTACATCATCCAGCAAGTTCTCTGGAGAAAGCAGGCATAAATTAGCATATGAATATTAAATAAAGAGGTGCGTGACAAGCAAATGGAAGGGATTTTCAAGAATAGGAACCACTATGAAAGTTTCAAACCCTGAAATTAAACCGCATAGTAAAAAGAAAAAAATCTGACACATTGATTTACCAGACCATAAGAATGTATTAACAAAATCAGCAAAAGATAACTTCAAGATGGGGGTGGTACCATCATATGGCGAGCCACACCGCAAGCAAACTTTCCGGCCCTCTTTGATTTCAAACTCAAAACAAGACTTGCACATGGGATAGTTACACTCATGGCAAGCCACAAATAGCTCACCATTGGCATCATGCCCCACCTGTTCACCACAGGTATGGCATATAGGAGCCCCAGATTCCATCATCCTGCTTATTACCACTTTACCAGCTCTATACAACTCCAATTCTTCAATTCTTTCAAGAGGGTCTTCCTCTGCTTCCTTCCAATCTTTTGTTTTGGCCTTGTTTTTATATCAAATACCCTAACCAAAGCTAGGGTGTGTTGGTGTCTTTCAGAGGGTGGTACTGACATTTTTGTAATGGCGAAGAGAAGGTTGAGGGTGGTGGGTTGGTGAGGTATGGCGGTTGGGGAGTTAGTGTCATGTGTTTTGCAGAGAAACACAAGTGAGAAGCAACGTCTATTTTTTGGGGTGTAAGTGACTAATTTTGAAAAATTTGCGGGAAATTTAAGGAAGGTTTCTGTTGGGCAGAGCACATCTTCAACTAACAAACTTTCAATACAAGTCATCAATACATGATCTTGGGCTGGGATGCCATGTGAACAGAAAACTGGCAGGATCCAGATGGTTAATGAGTATAAACACATGATCTTGGGCTGGGATGCCATGTGAACAGAAAACTGGCAGGATCCAGATGGTCTAGTGTCTAACATCGGCATGGTTCCCATAATCATCAATCATCATATCAATGTGTCAGGGTAGTTCTCTCTCTGAAACGGAAAAAATAGAAAGAAACGTAGAATGGAGATCTCTTTTACGACGCTGAGCCCATATATCTGGTTGTTGGTCCACTAATAGGTACAGGATTAACAGTTTATGGCTACATAATTGCAATACCAGAAACGGCAGTTTGCAACTTCGAATCAGACTATAAAGAGTAACCCCAGAACAAATGATGGGCATAAATAAGTGACTATAGAACGCATCTCTTGTTAAATTTACATAATATGCATTTGTTTTGTAACTTCTTTTGCAAATTGCTAGACCAGAAGTGAACAAAGCCATTCAACGAACCGGAAACTATCGTCTCCTGAACAGAATCAAGGCATGCTCTCCAGACTATGATGTTGTAGCTCTAATCTAAGAAACAGAATTGACCTCTACTACTTTTTTTGCGTCACAAATAACAAGTTTTCTGAATCAATTGGAGTTTTACGGAACCAATTGACCTGCCAGAATGGAAAGTATGAGATGAAAGGATTCTAACACGAGCAAAAGACAATAAAAATCGACCTTTTTCTCAAATCAATGTTAAGACATAGAAAATCTTCGTTGCCATCGGTCTGCCCTGCTTCATGATATTTGGAGCAATCCCACATTTTCACTGATCAACTTATCATTTCCACCGATCAACTTATCATTTCCACCAGAAATTATCAGGTTCCTCTTCTCCCCGAAGTTTGAAAATGTGACACAGGACACAGCAGCAACATAGCCACCCACATAGTAATCCAAATGTAACCTATTTCTTGCAAAATCTCAAGATTCTCTTCCTTACTTCTATCACGACCTGAATCCCGAATCCATGACCGGCACATAGGCAATGTTTCCCTTCAAGGTTCCAAACCTATGCAAATCCAAACTTAGAAATTTATCCTAACTCAATCAGAGTTCAACGAAATTTATTCTAACTCAATCAGAATTCAACGCAACATTAATAACAAAATCAACTTCATAATATAATTGAATTGTCTTAATACAAGAGTCAATATAATTTCATAGTTTCGGAGCACTAATTAGACATAAAGAAAAATGCACGGATTACAACCAAAAGAGCAGGTTCTGAAGGTCCAACAAAAGTGACCTGCTATCAAGCTATAAGCCTGAAAATGATAAATAATGAGAGTGTGAGTTCAACAACTCAGTGAGTAGATAACGTTCAATATACACACACGAGGTAATATAGCAATGAGAAATATATATACAAGTATGAATTTAGGTTCTTATAAAAAGGTTTCTCAAATAGGCCATAACAAGAATATCATATGGTAAAATCGTCAGAAAATCAAAATGCAATGAGCATGAGGCTCCGTACTGTGGGATGATCAGTCCACACAGGTTGGTGACTCCCCCGACCAACTAGGGTTCAGATACGATGTGCACAAAGACTAACATTACCCTGTTACCATAAGTATTCTGACTAACATACCATAGAGCCATAATCATAATCAAACAAACATATTAATATCTCAAGACTCAACTCATGACATCAATCAAATGAGGAGCTATCAATTCATAAGTCAATCCAAAATACATACTGGTTCATATCAAGAATTCGGATTCAACGAATGATCATGCTTATCATAACAAGGATAATAATCACCATATATATTATCAAGAAGCATGATCCAATTCATATTAACAAATCAAATATTTATAATATTTCTCATGCATATGGAAAATTATCCACTCACCTGACTCGAAAGCAAACAGAAAGCAAAAGCAAACACCGAAGAAAATCCTACTGACGTCCTGCCGGTAGAATATCAGGATTATCTGAATACAAAGAAGACATATTCAAGAATGACTCAAAAGAATATATAACCTATTTAATACACTTATTTAAGGATATATTCCATAACCCTATATATTTTTGAACTAATTAGTTATATTCCAAAAACCCAAAAATTAATAGTTTTCTCAAAATCCAATCCATAATAAAATAAATAATAAAATTGGTAATACTTCACTAACTAACCCTCAATTATTCATCAAACACATCTGCAAAAGCTAATATTACAGCTAGGGACTAATCTGTAATTTATTATATTTTTAAGGGTCAAATTGTAACTTAATCCATTTGGAGGACCAAACTAAACTTATCATAAATCCATGAATATACTGAAATTCTGACCATAACCAATCCTCATTTCTGTCCAGATCATCTCATTATACTCCAGGGACCATTCTGGAATTTTATCAAATTTTTAGGGTTAAACGGTAATTTTTGTCAAATTGAAGTTTACTTTCTATTTCTATTTATTAAGTTTTTTTTGAATTACTACACTACCCCTCGTTCATTTATACCCACACTTTAAGCCACCAAGGGCTTTATTGTATTTTCCTACTCATTTATTCAAAACATTACAATGTGCTTTCTGTCTCACTTCTTCCTTCATTTATCGCAAGAAAACTGAAAAAGTTCAGGAAGGTGGAAGTGGTTTGGAGACAAACTTGCGGTATTTTACATACAAAGAGCTCGCTGAAGCGACAAATGACTTCAAAGAAGAGGTGGGAAGAGGAGGTTTTGGTGTTGTTTACAAGGGGACAATGCAGGCAGGCTCTACTATTGTTGTTGCTGTCAAGAAGTTAGATAAAGTGGTTCAGGATGGGGAAAAAGAATTTAAAACAGAAGTACAAGTGATTGGCCAGACGCATCACAAGAATTTGGTCCGTTTGCTAGGATTTTGTGACGAGGGGCAGAATCGATTGTTGGTGTACGAGTTCTTGAGTAATGGCACTCTAGCAAACTTCCTTTTCGGATGCTCTAAGCCCAATTGGAAGCAAAGGATCCAAATTGCCTTTGGCATTGCAAGAGGACTCTTGTACCTGCACGAAGAATGTGGCACCCAAATCATTCACTGTGATATAAAGCCTCAGAACATACTTCTTGACAATTATTACAATGCTCGAATATCTGATTTTGGACTGGCAAAGCTTTTGGTGATGGATCAGAGCAAAACTCAAACTGCTATTAGAGGAACAAAAGGGTATGTTGCACCTGAATGGTTCAGGAACAGACCAATCACTGTGAAGGTTGATGTGTATAGCTTCGGTGTCATGCTGATAGAGATAATCTGTTGTAGAAGAAATGTAGATTTGGAGATCGGTGAAGCAGAGAATCCAGTACTGACTGATTGGGCTTATGACTGCTATATGAATGGAAGTTTGGATGTTTTAATTGGAGATGACATGGAGGCCAAGAATGACATATCGACACTAGAGCGTCTGTTGAAGGTCGGGATTTGGTGTATTCAAGAGGATCCATCTGTCAGACCCACCATGAGGAAGGTCACACAGATGCTTGAAGGAGTTGTTGAAGTTCCTGCTGCTCCAAATCCATTTCCATATAGTACAATTAGCAAATACAGTCAGTAATGATCTTTTTTTTTAGATTAACGTGGGTGTCCGGGTCAGCTTGCGTGCACCACAACTAATACCACGGGCCCTGAAGTTAACGACCATGTAAGCTTCCGGTGGCAGTCAGTAATGATCTTTATTTCACTTAGATATGATTTTTCTACGGTTTTTTCCACCATGAAATGTAGCTTTATAAATTGAAACTGTGTGTTAAATTTGAATTAGTTTCCAAGGAATCAACATGTTGTGATGAATCCAAAAACTTGAGGTTAGCATGTTCTTGTTCTTTTAGTTTCCTTGCTTCAGATATACCAATGGAAGTTCATCGTGGTGTTACTCTCTTAGCAGAGTAAGGGTAGGGATTAGGTTTAAAGTCCAATTTGCTCTGTACTACCATGAGAATCAAAATAAAAAAACACAAGTCTTGGTCAAGAGATGTTTGGCTTGTTTGGGGGCATTTTTTCTTCCGGGAAACGCTTAGTGATAGACATGTAAGAACCTGTAGTTCTTGCGGACAAAGCTTTTTACAGCAAAAAGTGAAACATCAAACACCATTCCATTACATCATGGTTGTTTCCGCTATCCCTTTGCATAATTAAGAAAGTAACAACCAGCAACTTGGTCCCTTGAATTTCATGTTGAATGGTTAGTATACGGTTGTAAGTGAAGCATGTTGTAGCTATAGATATTCTCATGAATCTATTAGATGGGGGGGTTATATCAGGACAGGAACAGCTGATAACTATACAATGCACTATACTCTGTAGAACCCATCATCATTACTTCTATACCAGCATTTGTCTTAATAGAAAATGGACCGAGAACTCCATGACAATCACACGCCCACTCTGTAGGGACTGCAAGGATTCTAATTAAGTAAATTGGCAGGTAACCACTTCCATTTATGTATGGTTGAAAGTCTTGCCATGGTACGCCATAAGTAATGTCCAAGCCTGTAATTCTTGAAAATTCAGAGAAAAAACCGTTGTCCAGAAAAGGCCCGGGAAGACTTGTGTTTGGCCTCAGGCTCCACCCTTCTCTTTCCCATAGGTTATTTATTGACCGTGCCTTAATTTAGTTTGCCTCACAGTTTGGAGTCATCATCATCTTTTGCAATGACCTTTCCTATCCTTCATCTTTCCTTTTCCTTGCTCATAATGCTACTACCTTTTTCTGTTGCTCAAACTGGTGGTAATATAACTGTGGGTGATTCCCTTTCCACTTCTGAAAACACCTCATGGCTTTCACCTTCTGGTCACTTTGCCTTTGGCTTTTATCAACTTTATGGCAACACAGATCTCTTCTTGCTTGCCATATGGTACGATAAAATACCAGACAAAACCATCGTCTGGTATGCAAATGGAGATAAGCCTGCACCAACAGGGTCCAAGGCAGTGCTGACAGCCAATCGCGGGATTTCACTTATTGACCCTCAAGGAAGAGAGTTGTGGAGATCCGAGACAATCATTGGTGTTGTCGCCTACGGTGCCATGACTGACACAGGCAACTTCGTGCTTCGAGATCGTGTTTCTGTTAAGCTGTGGGAGAGTTTCAAGAATCCTGCGGACACTTTACTGCCTTCACAGGTCTTGGACAGGGGGATGACCCTTTCTTCTCGCCTATCAGAAACCAACTTTTCTAAGGGAAGGTTCCAGCTTAAACTTAGAGATGACGGGAATCTTGTGCTAGCAACAATAAACCTGCCTAGTGATTATACTAATGAACCTTACTATAAAAGTGATACCGATGGTGAGTTGGATTCATCGAGTCCTGGCTATCAAGTGGTCTTTAATGAGTCAGGATACCTGTATCTATTGAGGGAGAATGACCAAAGAGTCCCTCTAACACAGAGAGAAACTGCCTCCACTGGAGACTTCTATCACAGAGCAACTCTCAACTTTGACGGAGTTTTCACCCAGTATTATCACCCGAAAGCATCTACTGGCAATGAAAGGTGGGCACCAATTTGGTCTCAACCAGATAATATTTGCCAAGCAAGTTTTGTCAGTGCTGGCAGTGGAACCTGTGGGTTCAACAGCGTCTGCAGGCTGAATTCAGATCGAAGACCAATCTGCGAATGCCCTGGAGGATACTCGTTACTCGATCAAAATGATCAGTATGGAAGGTGCAGACCAAACAACACACAAAGTTGTGAAGAAGATGAAGTGGCTCCCGTGGAAGATTTGTACGATTTTGAAGAACTTACAAATACAGATTGGCCAACATCTGACTACGCTCTCTTGCAGCCTTTCACTGAAGAAAAGTGCAGACAGTCTTGCTTGAATGATTGTATGTGTGCTGTCGCTATTTTCAGATCTGGTGATATGTGTTGGAAGAAGAAGCTACCACTCTCGAATGGAAGAGTACAAACTAATCTTGATGGGAAGGCTCTTCTCAAAGTCAAGAGAAGTAATGTCAATCCACGTAGCCCTTATTCCCCTAACAACAAAAAAGACACAGACGGTTTGGTCCTGTTGGGATCTGTGTTTTTGGGTTGCTCTGTGTTTGTGAATTTTTTGTTGGTTTGTGCAATTTGTATGGGTTTTTTTCATCTACCGCAGGAGAACAAAGAGAATTCCTCAGAAAGACGGTGCTGTCGAAACAAATTTGCGGTGTTTTACTTACAAAAGAGCTTGCAGAAGCAACAGAGGGGTTCAAGGAAGAGTTGGGAAGAGGAGCATTTGGAGTTGTTTACAAAGGGGTAGTGCATATAGGGTCTAGCATTGTTGTGGCTGTGAAGAAGCTAAATAATGTGGCAGAAGATAGTGTGAGGGAATTCAAGACCGAAGTAAATGTGATCGGCCAGACCCATCACAAGAACCTGGTTCGGTTGCTGGGATTCTGCGAAGAAGGTGATCAGCGGTTGTTGGTGTATGAGTTCATGAGCAATAGAAGTCTATCGAGTTTTATTTTTCAAGATGCAAAACCTGGTTGGAAGAAAAGAATCCAAATTGCCTTTGGAGCTGCAAGAGGACTTTTGTACTTGCATGAAGAGTGTAGCAATCAGATTATCCATTGTGATATCAAACCCCAGAATATACTTGTGGATGAATATTACAATGCAAGGATATCTGACTTTGGTTTGGCAAAGCTCTTGTTGCTGGATCAGAGCCAAACCCATACTGCCATCATAGGGACAAAAGGGTATGTTGCACCTGAATGGTTCAGGAACATGCCCGTCACTGTGAAGGTGGATGTGTATAGCTATGGTGTACTACTGCTAGAGATCATTTGTTGCAGAAGAAATGTGGAGAGCAAAGCAACCATAGAAGAACAGGCAATTTTAACAGACTGGGCATATGACTGTTATCGTGAAGGGACATTGGATGCCCTCGTTGGATCTGATACCGGAGTCTTAGATGACATAGAAATGCTAGAGAGGTTTCTGATGATTGCTTTCTGGTGTATTCAGGAAGATCCATCTCTCCGACCCACCATGAGGAAAGTTACACAAATGCTTGAAGGAGTAGTTGAAGTCCCTGTTCCACCATGTCCATGCCTTCTTTACGCAGCAAGTTAAAGCACCTTTGTAGCGTTGCCAGCCCTATTATCTTTCAGTAGTAACCTTTTCTTGATTACTGGCTTCTTCACCAGTGTCTTTTCCACCATAAGTTCTTCACTTAAAGATTATAAGTTCTTGTCATTTCTGTTTGCCTGCTACTACAAAAGGCAGCGTTGTACACAAGTAATGCTGTATTCGATGCGTGCCCTAGTTTCCAAGTACTGTGGTTTGATAGTTATTGTCACGACCCGAATCCCGGATCCATGACCGGCACATAGGCAAGGTTCCCCTCCAAGGTTCCGTACCTATGCGAACCCAAACTTATATACAAATTTATCCTAACTCAATCAGAGTTCAACGCAGCATTAATAACAAAATCAACTTCATAATATAATTGAATTGTCTTAATACAAGAGTTTTAGAGCACTGACTAAACATAAAAAAAGGTACAAATTACAATCAAAAGAGTAGGTTCTGAAGGTCCAACAAAAGTGACCTGCTATCAAGCTATAAGCCTGAAAATGATAAATAATGAGAGTGTGAGTTCAACAACTCAGTGAGTAGATAACGTTCAATACACACATACGAGATAATACAATAATGACACACACACACACACACACACACACACACATACAAGTATGGATTTAGGGTCTTATAAAAAGGTTTCTCAAATAGGCCATAACAAGAATATCATATGGTAAAATCGTCAGAAAATCAAAATGCAATGAGCATGAGGCTCCGTGCTATAGGATGATCAATCCATACAGGTTGGTGACTCCCCCGACCAACTAGGGTTCAGATACGATGTGCACAAAGACTAACATTAACCTGTTATCATGGGTATTCTGACTGACATACCATAGGGTCATAATCATAATCAAACAGACATATTCATATCTCAAGGCTCAACTCATGACATCAATCAAATGAGGAGCTATCAATTCATAAGTCAATCCAAAATACATACTGGTTCATATCAAGAATTCGGATTCAACGAATGATCATGCTTATCATAACAAGGATAATAATCACCATATATATTATCAAGAAGCATGATCCAATTCATATTAACAAATCAAATATTTATAATATTTCTCATGCATATGGAAAATTATCCACTCACCTGACTCGAAAGCAAACAGAAATCAAAAGCAAACACCGAAGAAAATCCTACTGACGTCCTGCCGGTAGAATATCAGGATTATCTGAATACAAAGGAGACATATTCAAGAATGACTCAAAAGAATATATAACCTATTTAATACACTTATTTAAGGATATATTCCATAACCCTATATATTTTTGAACTAATTAGTTATATTCCAAAAACCCAAAAATTAATAGTTTTCTCAAAATCCAATCCATAATAAAATAAATAATAAAATTGGTAATACTTCACTAACTAACCCTCAATTATTCATCAAACACATCTGCAAAAGCTAATATTACAGCTAGGGACTAATCTGTAATTTATTATATTTTTAAGGGTCAAATTGTAACTTAATCCATTTGGAGGACCAAACTAAACTTATCATAAATCCATGAATATACTGAAATTCTGACTTGGGGACTAAACTGTAATTCCCACAAATTGAAGGACCAAAATGAATTTTCATCATCTTCAACCTCCAACCCAGAATTTCAACAGAAACCC